CATTTTCGTCTTAGCTCAGGAAGGATGGCTCCGGAGCAAGCTAATTTATGCAGTAGCCGAATCGCTCGCTCCCAGCTTTAATGCCGGTAGCTCACAAAGTAGAATTTTTGCTCACAAGACTCCACAGCTTAGAGGTAGCATCGGTCTCGTCCACTCTGACTGGCAGCTACGCTCCAGGTCCTCGGGTAGAAGTTTTTCCATATCTCTTATCACCTGATTCTTTTAAATGAAGATGCTGATTGAACCTAGGACTCTTCAGCACGCAAAGGAGATACTCTAGAACTCAGCCTCGGCCCTCTCCCTCTTCATTGGCATCTACCAGTAGTTCTGCCTACCTATAACATCATTTATCAGGTTTTTTTATCCTGCCCTTTCTCCAAGGAACTCAGTTTATCTCCATTTCTGCACAAGAACCCTGTGAGATGATAAATTAGGCTGAGAGAGTGATTGGCACTGCTTTCCAATGTATTTTTAAAAGTCTGCACTTAACCACTACACCAGACTGGCTTCCTTGGTGACCTCGGGCCAGTTATGTACTCTCAAGCCCAGGCTGCCTTACAGGTTTGTCTATTTTATTTTGTTATTTATTTATTTATTTATTTTATACCCCACCCTCCCTGCTGGAGCAGGCTCAGGGTGGCTTACAAGAAGAAGAAGAAGAGAAGAGATTGGATTTATACCCTGCCCTTCACTTGGAGTCTCAGAGCGCCTTACAAACTCCTTTCCCTTCCCCTCCCCACAACAGGCACCCTGTGAGGTGGGTGGGGCTGAGAGAACTCTGACAGAAACTGCTCTTTTTCAAGGACAGCTGTGCCAGAGCTTGTGACTGACCCAAGGTCACATCAGCAGGTGCAAGTGGAGGAGTGGGGAATCAAACTCGGTTCTCCCAGATTAGAGTCCGCGCACTTAACCACTTACACCAGCTTACATAAAAGTGGGTGCATAAACAAATTTATCATAAATATCATCTAAAAACAGTTCAATTTTAAAACGGTTCAGTATCAAAGCGCTAGCGATAGCTATTTAATTGCTTAACGATGGCGGTACCATGTGAGTGCATTTGGGATCTGATTAGATGTCCAGTTCACTGAACTTTCCCTGATGTAACCGGCAGGCACAGGCTGTGGATGGTAAAACCGAGGGCCATCACCAGGGCCGCCTCTTGTCCCAAATGTCCTCCCAGAGTTCCGCAGGGCCTGCAAGACGGAGCTTTTCCACCAGGCTTTTAATTAGGAGCCGCCACTACTACCACCACCACCACCAATTATTTGGTGGTAAAAACGGGGTGATGGGATGGCCCAGTATGAGATCTCGCTACAGTATTGGGATGGAGTCGGGGCCGTTGAAGCGGGCTTTGGGCACATCTCTAGGTCACCATCTGATTTGATTGATCTGATCAAATTGGTAACATCACTGAGCACTTTATTATTGTTAAATGTGGTTGATTTTATGCTGTTTTTAATGTTTTATTTGACACATGTTGCCCTTATTTGTAAGCCGCCCTGAGCCCGTTCGCAGGGAGGGCGGGATATAAGTGTAATAATAAAATAAATAAATAAATGAACAGAAATGATGGTGACTCTTGCCGGTAACAGAGATCCATAAATGTGGATGACAGTGGTCTGTTTTGTGAATGCAAAATGGCACACGCTTTCAATCCACCGACATGTGTGTGTGTGTGTGTGTGTGTGTGTGTGTGTGTGTGTGTGTGAGAGAGAGAGAGAGAGAGAGGGGGGGGGGGACTTTTCCTGCAGTTCAGTGATACTTGTCGGAAAGCTGCCAATGAGCTTGACACGGAAGGACAGGCTAATTCTGGTCTCCAAGTCCTGTCTGAGCACCAGAAGCATCGCCGGCTTCTATCTTATTACCCAGAAAAGTGAATCATAAAAGGCACATTCTGTCTCTTGGTTTACTGAGTACACAGAGAGAGAGAGTTTATAAGCTGATACAACTAATACCACTGATGTTTGTTGATCCAGGTAAAGCGGGGCGTGAGGGTTTGTTTATTTAAGATATTTTTAGCTTGCCATTTCCCAACAAAGGATCAAGGTGGCTATCAGTGATATCTAGAAACAGCTCAAGCCCTCATCCGCTTAACAATAGATGTAACACCACAAGGCCCCCCCCAAAAAAAAGTCAGACAAAGTTAACAGATAAAGAATAATCCATCTGTGTCCTTGCATGCATATGGAAACACACGCTGACATTCCATCCCGCTTTGCCAACATGGGTTCTAGACAGGAGTAAGCTTGAGTTGATGAATAGTCAACAAGGGAAGTACCAGGGTTAGCCTGCCAGCCCAAGGTTGTCTCCAAATTCACCCTTCATAAGAACATAAGAGAAGCCAATGTTGGATCAGGCCAATGGCCCATCCAGTCCAACACTCTGTCACACAGTGGCCAAAAATACCAGGTGCCATCAGGAGGTCCACCAGTGGGGCCAGGACACTAGAAGCCCTCCCACTGTTGCCCCCCCCCCCAAGCACCAAGAATACAGAGCATCACTTGCCCCAGACCGAGAGTTCCTATCTATACCTTGTGGTTAATAGCCACTGAAGGACCACTGCTCTATATGTTTATCTAATTCCCTCTTATAAGAACATAAGAGCAGCCAATGTTGGATCAGGCCAATGGCCCATCCAGACCAACACTCTGTGTCACACAATGGCCAAAAATACCAGGTGCCATCAGGAGGTCCACCAGTGGGGCCAGGACACTAGAAGCCCTCCAACTGTTGCCCCCCCCCCAAGCACCAAGAATACAGGGCATCACCTGCCCCAGCCTGTGAGTTCCTATCTATACCTTGTGGCCAATAGCCACTGATGGACCTCTGCTCCAGATGCTTATCCAGTTCCCTCTTGAAGTTGTCTATGCTTCCTCTTACAGAAGCGAATTGCTGCTATTTGAAGGTCACCATTGTCGTGAGAGCCCCACAGAGCTCATATGTTCTTTCAATATGCAAACTCTACACACACACACACAAAACACGCACAAACTCTACCATGATGTGCCCTTTGCCACTGTATTAACTAAGAATTAGGGGTCGGATTGCCAGCCTGAAGCATTTCAACTGCTTGACTTATCACTGAGGGTCTCTGGGTTAAGTGTTGTCAAGTAGCTTCCGACTTGGGGCAACCCGATGAATTAATAACCTCCAAAATATCCTATCATTCATAGCCTTGCAAACTGCGGGCCGTGGCTTCCTAGACTGAGCCGATCCATCTGATTTCTTCTGCTTTTCCTGCTACCTTCAGCGTTACCTAGCATCAGGGATCATTTCGCAGAAAAAGAGGTGCAAGAGCTCATTAGTATAATGTATTAGCATAACTTTATTTGCATATACCACACCCCCTGACATCACCGGAAGTGTGTCAGAAGGCAACACCCACCGCTCGGGCTCCACTGGACTGTTTTGGATTGCTAACTATTGGGGGGGGGGGGAGAAATGTGCAGATCTGTCCTCGCAGAGGAGGGAGAGCTTGTACCTGAATAAAACTTGGCCTTAAAGGTACCACTGGACTGTTTTAGATGGGGGGCTGGGGGGAGCTCTGCAGCTTACCTGGCTGCTTCTAGCTCTGAATGAGGGCTGCTGGGAGCAGGGGGTGGGGCTTGTTGCATGTGCCCGCCCCCTGGGCTCTTTACTGCCGGAGCTCCACTCCTGTGCGCTCCTGCAGGAAATGACCCCTGCCTAGCATTATTGTCTTTTCCACTGACTCTTGTCTACCCATAATGTGACCAAAGTACGATAACCTCATCTTAGTCATTTTAGCTTCTTGGGAGAGTTTGGGCTGGATGTGATCCAGCACCCACTTGTCTTTTGGGCAGTCCCCGGTATCTGTAAAACTCTCCTCCGACACCACATTCCAACTTTCTTTCCGTCTGCTGTTTTCACAGTCCAACATTCATATCCATACATAGTAATGGGGGAATTCTATGGCATGAATTATCTTGGTCACCAGTGACACACCCATACACGTAAAAATCTTTTCTTTCACGGTTGCCCTTCTCAGTCTCAATCTCCTTCTAATTACTTGGCTGCTATCTCCCTTTTGATTGAGGATGGGAGCCAAGGAGTAGAAAATCTCGAACAATTTCAGTCTCTTCACTGTCGGCCTTAAAGAAGGGGTAACTCGTCTAGTGATTTCAAAGGTCTTGGGCATGAATAATCTTCTCTGGATTGGGGTTAGCTCTACAAGTACACATTAAACCTATGGGTCTGCCTACAAGAAACAAGTTCAGGGATCAAGTTGCTATGTAGCAAGCCCGGTGGGGCATTTGGGGGCACAGCCCCCTCAGAACGAGCCCTGCCCTACCCTGTGAGGATCCCAGACCTCCCCAGACCCCTCAACCCCGCACCTCACCCCTGCAGGGGCGGGGAGTGTGGGGAAGGAAAAGGAAGCTGCCCTGCCGCTTCTGGTGAATTTCACTCCCCCCACCAATGTTCCCTCTAAGCTGTGGAGTCTTGTGAGCAAAATTTCTACTTTCTGAGCTACTGGCATTAAAGTTGTGAGCGAGCAACTCAGCTACTGCATTAATTAATTTGCTCTGGAGTCCTCCTTCCTGAGCTAAGACAAAAATGTGTGAGCCAGAGGCTAAAAAACTGTGAGCTAGCTCACACTAACTCAGCTTAGAGGGAACACTGCTCCCCACCAACAGCTGTTAAACATAACAGCTGATCCCGAGGGCAGTGAAACTGACCAGAAGCAGCGGGGGTGGCTTCCCTTTCCTTCCCCAGACTCCCTGCCCCTAGGCATGCCTTCTCTCTCTCTTCTTTGCTACTCCCACTTAATCTAATTAAGTTCCCCGCTTCCCTGCCTCAGCAGCCAAAATTTTCTGGCTATGGGGCTGCTATGTAGATGTTGTTCACAGAACAACAAGGGGAAATTCAAGGGAAATTTCAATGTTAACGTCCCACATATATTCATTCTTGTAACCCCCACCCCTTCTATTATGCATTAAGTCCTTTACAAAAAGAAGCCAGAATAATTGTTTTTCAAGTACCTTCCAGGTGGAAGTGTTCATTTTCAATTGCCTCCCTGAAGCCTTCGCCTGCTGGATCCTGCAAAAACACAAGAATGAAAAGGGAAACATTATTTGCATGCTCACTAGATGCCGGACCATAGTATTTTAATGGCACAACAGTGTTTATACTGACCTGCAGAAGACATGCAAAAGTTTCATCTGAATGGGTACATACCCATCTCCGATAGCACACCCAGGAACTGCTGGTTTCTAGAAACCGCTCTGCAGATTGCAGACTGGTCTTGGATCTGATTATGCATAAATACTCCAGACAAGATGTTTGCATGCCTTTTCAGGCCCCAGGAAAGACTCGAACAGGAGTCATTCGCAGTCTTTAAAATGCAACGCAAGAAGCAGCGCTGCCATGTTAATGGGAACGTGAAAAGCACCTTTGCAAATCAATTTAGTTCCACATACTTATTTGATACAGTAATTTTATATCATGTGCTGGGCATAGCTGGGAGAACAAAATAATGCAATTGACAGACTGTGCCGGCGAGAGAAGAGATTTAAAGATTAAAATCCTCCTACAAGGCAGGTTCATAGTTAGCACCGCCGTTCTCTCATCAATTAATCATGCAAAAAAAAAAATCAAATATCTCAAATGTAGCCTAGAAGTGAGATATATTTCTTGCCTATAAGCAATCTGATTTCCCCAACACAGACGGCAAAAAGATTCTAAACATTATATCCTCCAAAGCAAGTCTCTTTTATTTACTTAATTTTATTTAGACCCCGCCTTTCTCTCCAATGGGGACACAAAGCAGTTTACATCATTCTCTGTTTTAACCTCAATAAGAACATAAGAGATGCCAATGTTGGATCAGGCCAAAGGCCCATCCAGTCCAACACTCTGTATCACACAGTGGCCAGAAATACCAGTGCCATCAGGAGGTCCACCAGTGGGGCCAGGACATTAGAAGCCCTCCCACTGTTGACCCCCCCCCAGCACCAAGAAGACAGAGCATCACTTGCCCCAGAGCCACCTTGTGGCTAATAGCCACTGATGGACCTCTGCTCCATATGCTTCTCTAATTCCCTTTTGAAGCCGTCCATGCTTGTAGCCGCCACTACCTCCTGTGGCAGTGAATTCCAAGTGTTAATCACTCTTTGGGTGAAGAAGTACTTCCTCTTATCCGTTCTAACCTGACAGCTCAGCAATTTCTTGGAGTGCCCACGAGTTCTTGTATTGTGAGAAAGGGAGAAAAGTACCTCTTTCTCTACCTGCTCTTTCCCATGCATAATCTTGTAAACCTCAATCATGTCACCCCTCAGTCGTCGTTTCTCCAAGCTAAAGAGCCCCAAGCGCCTTAACCTTTCCTCATAGGGAAAGTGTTCCAACCCTTTTATCATTCGAGTTGCCCTTTTCTGCACTTTTAAAGCTATAATATCCTTTTTAAGGTGTGGTGACCAGAACCTCACAACAACCCTGTGAGGCAGGTTAGGCGGAGTGTGTATAACTGGCCCAAGGTCCCCCAGTAACCTTCCAGGGCAGAGTGGGGATTTCAACCTGGGCTTCCCAAATCCTAGTCTGATGCTTTAACTACTACACCACGCTGGCTCTTCAGTCCTGACTCTATTTCTTCCAACGCATTTCTTCTCTATAGTGTCCAGAGGACACACACCAACAACACACTTAAACTCCTTCTCACACATTTGGGTCTATTCTGTATTGAGTTGTTTTACCAAACCCACCTTGGAACAGAAATTCCCCTCTGCATTGCATGTCGCTTTCACTCTCTTTGATCATAGGGTTTTATGGTACCCTCTACACTGCATGCCGCGTTCACTTTCTTTGATCACTGGATTTTATGGTACCTTCTGCCTAGATTTATGGCCGTTCAGGGGTGACTTTGCAGTCAGTACGGCATTGCACCGTATTTGAATATGGTTTTGAGCTGCATCTCTGGTAAAACAGAAGAAGAAGAAGAAGAAGAAGAAGAAGAAGAAGAAGAAGAAGAAGAAGAAGAAGAAGAAGAAGAAGAAGAAGAAGAAGAAGAAGAAGAAGA